AATACAACACGAAAGATACAAACGAAACCCAACACAATGTAACTATTTACATAGCATTTGTATTGTTAGTAATCTAGAGATTATTAAAAGGTATAGGGGAGGATGTTCATAGGTTATATGTAAACATGACATTTTACATTAAGAACTTGAACATCTGTGGATTTTGGTATGGGAGAGGGGGTCCTGAAACAAATCTCTCAGATACGGAGAGATGACTGTAATATTTCATTCTACCACTATAAAAGGAGAAGAAAATGTACAACATAGGGCTCCTGGCCTAAAATTCTTTCACAGGCATGGGAATTTAATGGGGACAAGTAGGGCAAAATAAATAGGAGTATCAGGGCAAAAGAAAACAGGGCTTGGGGTCTGTGGGAGGGAAAAGAACTAAAAAGAGGAACAGATAGACAATTTATCTCTTTTTGAAATTTTAGTAAATTTTGATGAGAAGAGTCCCAGATCCATCTGTCTTTTGAAGAATACAGACAATCAAGTGCTGGGGTCAGGGGCTCTCCCATGTTCAGGATGGCGATTTTGTGGGTGGGGTAGGCTGGCAGAGCCCACTGACATCTGGGTGATGAGAAGATGTTGGTTGGTTAGGATGGCATTCCTCACCCAAGCCCTATAACTTGATTTTCCAAGATTAATGATTACTTAGGATTATTTGATTTATCCTTCTACCTCCAGGTTCCTGTTGTAAACTAAAAATAAAATTGTGGCTCACATCTGTAATCTCAGCACTTTGGGAGGCCAAGGTGGAAGGATTGCTTGAGGCCAGGAGTTCTAGACCAGCCTGGGCAACATAGCAAGACCTGATCTCTACAAAAATTAATAAATTAGCTGGGTGTGGTAGAACATTCCTGTAGTACCAGCTGTTCAGAAAAGCTGATATAGGTGGGAGGATTGCTTGAGCCCAGGAGTTGGAGGCTGGCAGTGAGCTGTGATTGTACCATTGTACTCCAGCCGGGGCGATGGAGCAAGACCCTGTCTCTAAAAAGTAAATTTAAAAATTAATTAAAAATGTAAATGTAAGAACTGGTAGAAAAGGCCAGGTGCGGTGACTCACGCCTGTAATCCCAGCACTTTGGGAGGCCGAGGTGGGTGGATCACAAGGTCAGGAGATCGAGACCAACATGGCTAACAGGATGAAAACCCGTCTCTACTAAAAATACAAAAAATTAGCCGGGCGTGGTGGTGGGCACCTGTAGTCCCAGCTGCTTGGGAGGCTGAGGCAGGAGAATAGTGAGAACCCAAGAGGCGGAGCTTGCAGTGAGCCAAGATGGCACCACTACTCCAGCCTGGACGCCAGTGTGAGACTCTGTCTCAAAAAAAAAAAAAAAAAAAGAACTGGTAGAAAAAAGAAAATATTTAAATAATAAATTATATAATCAGGCTTCTATAAACCCAACATCAAAGGCAGAAATCATAAATCAAAATAATACTAGATCAGGGAGCTAAAAAAATTGGAGTGTCTCACTCTTTTTTTTATATTTTTAATGTTTTTGAGATGGAGTCTCACTCTGTTGCCTAGGCTAGAGTGCAGTGGCATGATCTCAGCTCACAGCAACCTCCACCTCCTGGTTCAAGCGATTCTCCTGCCTCAGGCTCCTGACTAGCTGGGATTATAGGTGTGAGCCATCATGCCCAGCTAATTTTTGTGTTTTTAGTAGAGGAGGAGGGGGTTTCACCATGTTGGCCAGGTTGGTCTCGAACTCCTGACCTCAGGTGATCTGTCTGCCTTAGCCTCTCAAAGTGCTGGGATTACAGGCATGAGCCACTGTGCCTGGCCTCTATTCTTTTAAAAAGGTCAAAATGAGGTGGGGTGAGGGGCAAATCAGCAATATAAGGACGAGCAAGTGGCTAATACATGAGTAGTTAAATAGTTCTCACAAATCAGTAAGTAGGCCCAGCGAGGTGGCTCACGCCTATAATCCCAGCACTTTGGGAGGCCAAGGTGGGCAGATCACCTGAAGTCAGGAGTTCGAGATCAGCCTGACCAACATGGAGAAACCCCCTCTCTCTACTAAAAAATACAAAATTAGCTGGGCGTGGTGGCACATGCCTGTAATCCCAGCTCCTTGGGAGGCTGAAGCAGGAGAATTGCTTGAACTCAGGACACAGAGGTTGTGGTGAGCTGAGATAGCGCCATTGCACTCCAGCCAGGGCAACAAGAGCAAAACTCTGTCTCAAAAAAATCAGTAAGTGTATCTTTTTTCTTTTCTCTCTCTCTTTTTTTTTTTCTTTCAGAGTCTTGCTCTGTCATCCAGGCTGGAGTGCAGTGGCTCAATCTTGGCTCACTGCAAACTCCCTGTCTCCTGGGTTCAAGTGATTCTCCTGCCTCAGTCTCCCGAGTAGCTGAGACAACAAGCACACACCACTACACCCAGCTAATTTTTGTATTTTTAGTAGAGACAGAGTTTCACCATGCTGAGCAGGCTGGTCTCAAATTCCTGACTTCAAGTGATCTGCCCACGTTGGCCCCCCAAAGTGTTGGGATTACAGGTGTGAGTCACCACGCCCATTCTCAGTAAGTACATCGTAACAGAACAATCAGCAAATGAAGAAATGCAAATAACCCACATGCTTCTGAGAGAAAGTATTCAGCCTCTAGCTTAGAAATGTACATCGACACAATTAAATGCATTTTTTCACCTGTGAGTTTGGCAGACATTTAAACCGATGCTATTTGGGAAAAGTTCCTGATATTCTGCATCTCAACACTACAATTCAAGATAACTTCTAGGAGACCAAGCACCGTGGTTCACGCCTGTAAACACAGCACCTTGGGAGGCCAGGGAGAGTGGATCACTTGAGGTCTGGAGTTCGAGACCAGCCTGGCCAATATGGCGAAACCCTGTCTCTACTAAAAATACGAAAATTAGCCAGGTGTGGTGGCATGTGCCCGTAGTCCCAGCTACTCAGGAGCCTGAGGCAGAAGAATCATTTAAACCCAGGAGATGGGGAGGTTGCAGTGAGCTGAGATAATGCAAAAAATAAACAACAACAAAACAAAACAAAACCTTCTAGGAATTGTTTTATAAAGAATGTCCTTTGCAGCCTTATTGGTAATGGCTATCATATTTTGGTTTGAACATTTGGAGGCCAAGGGCTAAAGCTAGGGCTGGTTCTCAGTCCACATGGTTCTGAAGGTCCCATTTCTAATTTCTGAAGTGGTTCCTTTTTGTTCAAATACTTGTTGCCTGGCCTGGGGGTGCTGGGTGTTAAATAAAAAAATGTGTAGTTCACAGATCTCTGGGTTAGAGAGAAGGGCTAGGAGTGTGGGGGAACTTTTTGAGGTAATTCTTGTTTAATTTTTACTCCAAAGAGAAACTTGTTAGTCTTTTGAATTCAGATACGGTTATCTACCAGCAAGTCATCATTTGGTAATGTAAATAGGATTGAGAGGTCATGTCCTTCATGCAAAACTTCAGTATTTCTTGAAGAAGGGAAATTAGTTGTTTTAGTTAACTAAAAGCAAGCTTACTAATTTTGAATTATTTTCTTTAACAGTAAGCATATTTTTTTAAGATAATGTCATAAGATGAATGAAGGAGGATTAGGGTGCAGTGAGAGAAGGCATCTATCTAACATCTTGAAGTCTTTATCATCAACAAAAGATGACTGTGAACTATTCTGTGATATTTAGAAGCCAAAATAAGTTCTAGTGTTTGGAAGCTTGTGGAAGCAGATTCTGGCTCAATGTGGAGAGCTTTCTGACACAGCAGTTTAACAAATGTAATCTCGTGTGCAGGACGTAAAGGGAGATACCACATTCTTGCATTTTTAAGGGGCTTTAGCTTAATGGTGCCAAACATAATGAGTATAAAAATCAGTGCAGAGATACAGTGAGTAAAACATTCCTCATGATTACTCATAGCTAGATATTTCTCTAAAAGTTGAACATGATGTGAATTCATCTGCCTGCATTTAATGCCTAGGTTTTGGAATAATATATATCTCCAACAGTCAGCTGTAGTGCCAGACCCCTATTAACTTCAGTAGGGATGGCAGCAGGTTCAAGAAGTCAAAGAAGAGACCTGGAGCCAGTGGAGGAGACATAGGGTTTTATTAGGGGGAGCTTACATACAGGGACAGCCCAGTGACAGTGGACTGGACAGGAGAACCACAACCATTTGCAAAAGGCATGCAGTTTATATAGCATCTTCACTTAGCACCGTCCTGGCAGCAAGCGCCACATGGCAACTTTCATTTCTTAAGTTGCTGCTCTCAGGTTTATCTGCCATTGAACATATATCCCAGTTATTACTTTCAGGTGCATCTATCATGTATCAGGCCAGTGGGATATTCACACTTTGGGTAGCTGAAGGGAATTCTTGCTGATCTTTGGATCAGTTAAATTTATATACAGTGGGCTGGGTGCTGTGGCTCACACCTATAATCTCAGCACTTTGGGAGGCCGAGGCGGGCGGATCACCTGAGGTCAGGAGTTCGAGACCAGCCTGCCTAACATGGCGAAACCCCATCTCTACTAAAAATACAAAAAATTAGCCAGGCATGGTGGTGGGCGCCTGTAATCCCAGCTACTCGGGAGGCTGAGGCAGGAGAATCGCTTGAACCCGGGAGGCGGAGGTTGCAGTGAGCTGAGATCATGCCATTGCACT